CTTTAATATAAACAGGACAAGATGTTTTTTAATGTACGGTTTTAATACTAACCTAACCGCCACCACGTGGTACAGGTAAGGTTAAGCGGGGCGAATGTAAAAGCGTTTTTTTTCAAATGTCGGTAAAAGTATTGAGTTGATGTTAAAAGTAATTGTCGACGGTATCTAAAAATAGCTTCACTACATATGTTCTGTTGTATAACGGTATTATTAAAAACGATCCGATAACAAGCGATATTACTAAAAAATATATTTGCATAAAAAAACAAACCAGTAAACTTGTGAAATACAAAATCATTTTATTTTACAATATTATATAGTTTGTGTTCCAAGTTGTATAAGACGGGTTACGCGCCATGGCTGTGGTGTACAGCTGCTTGGAGTATATACAATTAGTTTATACAATAATAATATAAGTTATGCGAAAATTGTTAATGTATGATAAAATTATATGATATGTGAACGTTTCAAATGAATAACGATATAAATTACAATGACACTGACGATTATCCATACTAGAAACAGCGGCAGAAATACCATGATAGTCAGTAGTTTCAGCAACAGTGCAAAAGAAGTCAATAGAAACACCAGAGGTGCAATAGCCGTGAGTGAGAGAACCAGTATTACAATACTAGCAAAAAACAAGCACAATAGCTACTGCACTGACCACAACTGCGTAACGCACCTTTGCGAATAGGCCTTTGCCTATTTCTCGGATGCCAGTCAGAAAGGTCGTTCCAACAACCTGTTAAATAAATACATATGAAGAATACAGCGGTAGAGTTAAATTTCAAAAATTAATTTTACACTTACAAGTTCTGGTTGGTGGGGTAATATAACTGTTAAAAACAAAATAATATGTAAATTTCTATGAGAAGTTTATTACTTGGGTGTCGACCTGCAGGTTCGACGAATCCGGTTTTCCGCATTCAATAAGAGAAGTTCTGTCAAGGCTTTTGACTTCGGGCAACACCATGCAAAAACCGAAAAAATTAGTCATTTTTCAGCCGAGCCTGCAACCACGAAAGAGCATTTTCATGTCTCGTTGAAGTACCGAAAAAATGTAGAGTAGTGGTGGAATTATAGATAATGAAATAGTATATTAACAAGCTGTAACAAGCTAGTATCTAAGGTGGCTAAATCAAGTTTCTGGCTAAAATTTTAATGTTTATTATCTGGCCAAAAGTAACTTAACATAGAGAATAAAAACTATTTTGAATTTATTATTTAGTTCTAATTTGAACGTTGAACGTACAACATATCTCTTATCTCATATCAGATAACAGCGTAACACTTTTTTCGTTATGCTTTTTCGTTATGCTTTTCGTTACGCTTTTTTCGGTTATGCACCACAGCTAATTCCCACCCCAACCCCATTCCCATTCCCACCCCCCCACCTCATCTTCATCCCCTTTTATTTTTTGGTAACGCATTTTTCGTTACAATATTTTCGTTATAATATTTTCGGTTATGTGCCAGAGCTAAGACATGAAAATGTCAAAACCCGGGTAGGAAGTCATATCTACACTGCAGTGCAAATGGCGGCTGTCCATCGTCAAATTCCAAATGACTTTATATAGTCCTGATTGGCTCATTGTTCCAACCAACACAACGACCATCAACACAAAAACCGTAGAATATAGTTTATACATATTGTATTAGCTGTAAGAAATCCTTTGAAACAGAAAAAATTAGCAAAAACGGTTTGGAGAAATATGTTGTTTTACACTGAAATGGTGCGGTGAAACAAATGTAATATTAACATCAACAATAACAGTTACGATATAAACAAGCCGTTTTTAATACATATGTACCTATATTAAGAGTATTTGCCAGCATATAAATAAGTATACAATATGTTTTTTAAATAACATATGTGTTCCTTTTTCTTTTTTGAGATGTTACACTTATCTTCTACGACTAATTTCCAACTCATAAATTCTAAAATTGCGCATAAAAAGAAAAAAACCCATAAATTTTATGAAAAAAATCTTTTTTCAACAATCTTTTAAAACTTTCATGTTGGAAATATTATTAAGTTTTATATTAAACAATATTTTATCGAGTACTTAAATTTCCCAAGTTAAAACATCAATTCCAATTAAATGAAGTTTTTACTTCAACCAATAGTGCATATAAAATAACAAAAATACATATACTGTTGCATTAGTAACCGGAAGGCATTGATTTTAGAATAAACTAGTATGTTCTAAAATCAATGCCGGAAGTCATGCAAAACTGGTGGTTTTTTTTAGAGCATAGCTTGTAATTTAACGTGAATTGAACAATGCAGTTAAAGTTAAAGTTGCCCTAGTTGTATGCTTGATATAATAATATCCGTGTTGTGTAAAAAAAAGTTTCAGTAATTGATGTAAACTTTTTTTCTTGGAACAACATCGAACCATTTTTTATACAACTCGTTTTCTATGCAGATAAAATTCTGCAACGTTCAATTAAATTAGTATAGTTTACAATAAGTTTATTTTAAAACATGGATATTTCTAACTACGAAATAAAATTATACTATATTATATATTTTAACTGAACAAAACAAAACATTTTCGAACCGTTTATTTTTAATTAAAAATGGTCAATCCGTTATTAAATAATATTTAGTTGATTAATTGAATTCATTAAATTTAATATCTGATTATACAAAACGCTTTGTATTGGAAAAAAAACAAAATATGCTAGAAATGGTTCGAATTAATATGATTTATGATTTTATAAAAGTAATACTTAGTTATTACTTTTGACGGTTAATGATAATGGTATGTAATTAAAAAATAACAGAATTTGCAAATATTCTTTTGTTTAATAACAATGATTAATATTTATAAAAAAAATCAGAGAAGTTTAAAGTTATATTAAAGGTATAAAATGATAACAGTACATTTTTAATATAGGCCATCATGAAAATTAATTAACCACATATTAGCATTTTTAATCACATAAAAATGTACTTATTATTTTGCTACTTCGTAAGCCCAACGCCACTGGAAAGATAAGTGATTAACTCTCAACTTCGTTGCTAAACTACTATAATTATTGTTGTTAATTATTTTTTTATAGTAAGATACGGTAGGGAATATAAGTTATGGTTGTAAAAAGGGAGGCGATAAGAATACAAGGAAACTGTAAAAGAAGAATGATTCGAAGAAGGAACTGATTTGCGAATAAGTGGTCTTTTATTAGTTTTAATTAAATCAATTTAGATTATTTTAAATTATTTATATAGATAAAGTCGTCAAATGGTCAAAAATTTGCTTAACATAAGCGTAAAGTCCAAAATTTAATTTCAAATGAGTTTAATAAAGTCATCAACTGATCAATTCCTGACATTTTTTTTTTACATTTTCGAAGAATTATTCACTTATTGTGTAAATTAATATATTATTAAAGGATTATTATTTTTTTTTTTTTCAGAAAAAAACATATTTTTATTTGTATGAGAAAAGTAACCATAGGAATGCATTTTTGTTTACGCCAACGACCCTCATGTCCAAAATAGGAAACAGCTATGATTACTTATGTTTGTACTGGAAAACAAAAACAGAAAAAATAATGATTATTCAGTAAAAAAATGTCCAGTATAAAACTGTACAATCAAATTTAGTCAATTTCTCGTTAAGTTTAACAAAATACAATAACGGCAACACAAATAAAACGGGAATAGATTTTTTCTGTTGTTTAGGTAGATTTGCATATTGTTAACGTTATGGATAATTGGATTCGCTGAAAATAATTACTTTTTGTTGGACAACGGCCATTTTGAAATTCGCAATATGGAAGGTACAAATTGAATTAAAGTACTTTAACCAATATGGAAAACGAATTATACTGGAATGTAATAATTAGTATACATTTTATGTATTGAATAAAAACTTTGTTTTGACCTGTATTCTGGCATTTTTTTTTTTTTTTTTTGTGAAACGTTATGTAATTAACTTTTATATTGATCGTTCGGTGTGTTTTTTTTATTTATCTTCCTTAGCCCTCAATCGAGTTTTGAATCTCATCCCGCAAAACAAAATTGGACACATTTCATATAATTTTCTTAACTCACTTATCAAAAATCGCATTTATTTTTTTTTATTATTAAAATTATTTATTTTTTAATTTAAAACTATAATAAATGTTGTAATTATTTTAAATGAACTCCAATTTTGCTACTTGGATTTCGTACCCATGCGGTTGAAAAAAAAAAGTTGAGAGTATCCACACTTCATGCAGATACATCAATACACGGATATGTCCTGCAATCTAGTATCTCTAATATCTTATCTTTAACCCTGTGAGGTACTTAATTGGGCTAAAAATATTAAAATTCACCCCTTTTCCTTTATAGTCGAAAAAACAGACAACAAATTTACATATTTTTCAACATAAAATTACGGCGCTCCATAACTTATTTAAAAATCGTCGAATGAATTCCAAATTTGTATAGAATATTTAAACATAGTACTACCGATAAACGTTGACAACCCAAAAAAGTATCATAAACCTTTGTCCCACTATGTTATGGTTACATTTATTAAGTCCTACCTTCTGACAGATTTTCAACTAATAATCCTAAAATTACGGTTAAAAAAGTAAAAACATGTTTTTATAATCTTACACCTTAATAATATGTGATGCTGGGCGCACAACAACCACCATTAAGAACCGTGTATTGTATACACATGTTGTCAACGTTGGCACCACTGAGAGGCGGATTTTTGTCCGGCGGGGTTTTGAGTTGGTTAGGCAGGAAGTGTTGGAGGCAAGTCCATTTCATTATAGGTCTATAGTTTTACGCATAATAAATAATATTCAAATTTTGACGAATACTTAAAAGTATTACTGTTCTTACAATCTGATTTACGTACGTCTTAACTGATGTATACAATAAAAGAAATATAAGTATACGTGCGTATACTCATAACCCGGTTAAGGAATATATTGATAAGATACAATATTATTATTATTGCTTACATAGTTTTGCTGATAACGGCTTAGAGATATCACATCGTTTACTAGCGGGTACATCGGTATTATTTGTGTAGAGTGTAGACCATAGAGTATAAACTGGAATATATTAGAGCCGGGGTATTTGTATAGCATAATAAGTAAATAACTCAATAAGTATAATTGGTTTGGTATATATTTTTTGCACCTCCATTAATTCTCTAAATTCAAAATGATATATCCTTATTGCACCAATATGGTTTTGATTTTATAGTGATAATATTCCAGTTGATTTTTAACCCAACTGTATCACTAATATGGCAAACCATTATGACGTTCCCAATTGGTAAGAACGAAATAATTACTTATTAAATTGTACCGGTATAAATAAATTTACAATAAGATGGTTTAATTGAATGGTCATTTTTTATTTTTAGGGCCGGTAAACCGCCAGTGGGTCTGCATTTAGATGTATTAAAAGGAGATAAATTAATTCAAGTAAATATAATTCAAAATTTTAGTAACATAATATTATAACATTGTTGTTTCAAAAAGGAAAAATTGCAATCTTTCAGAAACTAATGTTAGACCAAAAGAAATGTTACTTATTTGGGCGAAACGCTCAAATGAGCGATTTCTGTATTGATCATCAGTCGTGTTCACGGGTACATGCAGCTTTTGTCTACCACAAACATTTGAATAGAGCATTTTTAGTTGATCTTGGTTCGAGTAAGTATTAAAAAAAAATAGATACATTTACTAATAATTACATCAATAATATTCCACTTTGTTGAATTGTGTACAGCTCATGGAACATACATTGGCAGTATTAGAATCGAATCACATAAGCCGACACAGTTGCCCATCAATAGTCAATTTCATTTTGGAGCTTCGACTCGGACATACATCATACGAGAACGACCTCAGTCCACATCGGCATTTGGCCCACGTCCCATAATGGATCAATTGGAAAGAGAGTCTGACAAGTCTGCTAGTTTATTGGGCTTACCAGAAACAGACCACGAGTTAGATGTAGGAGTTAAAACTGATTGGATTTTCTTTTCTTTTTAATTGCATACATTGTGTTTCTATTAGAATTTGACTGAATTCAATACTGCTCAAAATCGACGTATTTCAATGCTTGGCATTACCGAGGACAATTTAAAAGGAAAACGAAAACGGACGAGAGGTGTACATTTTAACGAAGATGAACAGATCATCAATCCTGAGGATATTGATCCATCAGTTGGTCGATTTAGAAATCTCGTTAGAACCACCGTTATACCCAATAAAGTAAGGATACGTTAAATCACATATTGGTACCACATGCAACATTGCCAGTTCCCAGATAGGTGATCACCTGTATTCGAAACATTCTCATTCTATGATAATGAACTTGTTAATGCTTACGTTATTAAAAGAAATTAACGTTTTTATTTAGTCAATTTTTTTCTTGGTGTGTAAACATCTTTAGGTATGGTATAATGTTTTGACTAGGAGTTAATCGGTGAAAATGTGAGTAAATTGACAGAATTTTCGCTTGTCATAGTAAATTTGATGATTAAAATAAACAAATAATAATCATCTCATTAAAATGAAAAAATGTAAGAAACCATAAAAAAAAACAGAATAAGTTTGCACTTCACAATTGTAAATACTATGTTCAGTTTTTTTTAATAGTCGACAAAGTAAATAAACTAGTAAACCTATATAATATTATTTAAGGTGCTTATACATTTTTAAAAATCAATTTTAAGAAGTATTAAACCTAGTACAGGGAACAATGTAAATGTTCAAAATTTAGAAGCGACAAAGCCGCGCCCCCAACCGACACTTCAGTTAGGCAAACTTAACCATTGCTCAGCAGTTACCCTGCTAACCACATAGTTTTCGAAGCTAAGAAATAAAATATTTGTTACTTGTTGTCCGTATAATGACCTTTTATTGTTGCCGTTACAGAAATTTAAAGACACGATGGGTTTTGCAATTGACCAAAACAACACCAGTAATCAAAATAAGAATTTTATGAAACATATGATGCCCGGTGCTCATTTGGGCAATTCACTTTACGGTGATCTACCAGGTTGGAAAACTAATTATTCACAAACGCAAACGCAGTTATATGTTTTGTTTTTTCCATAAATTTTGTAATTTTTGTTTTGTATTATTTAAGGCGAAGATGATAAACAATCTGGATTCTTATCGACGATGGGTAACCGCTTGGGTATGAATTTGCCAAACCCGGCCCCGGAGGTCGACATGAATCCCATCATAGAAGAAATTACCGTTACTAAACCAGTAACGGCAGAAAAAATAGAACCAGCGTCGACTGAACCTAAAAAGAAAAAGTACGCAAAAGAAGCATGGCCTGGGAAGAAAAATGCTCCAGCTCTACTCGTTTAATGTGTTTTCTATTTCGGTGCACTTTTTTTTTTTTACAGTAATCGTTCTAATTGTACTAAACTTCACTCGGTAATATTTTACATTATAATTAGTGTTTCTACAGTTTGTTATTAACTGTAGTAAGTTTTCATCGATTATCATTGTGTAATTTGTTATTCCGAAATATATATGTTTTACGACATGGCGTTTCCATCAATGATTTGTTCCACAACTACTATTTTATATAAAAATAAAATATTTTGACTTTATTTGTTAACATTGTTAATGATTCTAGACCAAGAAAAATGTAAAAAAAAAAAGAACAAATTATTTATAACAACAAAAAATGTAAAACATTACCTTTCTTTTATTATTATCCGATACTTAACTCTAACTAGTGGCACATGTTTTAATTGGTCAGTAACTAAAATCAAATTAATCATAATTAAATAATTCGTTCAATAATAATTGCCTGTTTGATAAGAAAACTGTTTTATTATGATAATGCTTACTAAACATAATGACAATTGCAATGTGAATAACATACTGGATTTTTTTAACTAACTATATTGCCCAACTTTTAAGGTGAGCACTATAATACAAGATGTAAAGTGTACATCTAGATAGAAGTAGTTAATATAATATAACCGTGGTGCCCTCCGGAATATTGTTTTCTTTTAATTTTATAATGGGTGATTTTACTGTAAAACCAAAATTAAGAGAGTTATTTTCAGTTGGCCTAAACATGGTTTTACTACTGAAAATCACCGGCGCGACGCACTCTTAAATTAGAAAGATTTATTTGTAACATTAAATTTCTTAGATATGTCTTAATTCTTTTCATAGAAGAAAAAGTTCTTTCGCATACTACGGAAGAAACATCAAACAGATATAGTAATTGCAATACTACAAAGCTTATATACATAACTCAGAAAATGCTAGTTGGTTAGAAATGGATGCAATTGAAAAATACTTTTTATAGAACTATACTTATTTTCATAATGTTTTATTGCTTTTTTAGTAATTTTTAACTCTTGAGTTGTAAGATTGAATTACATATTTATTGTTAGTAAGTTTCATATTTTTGGTTAAAATGAGCTTGCCTTCGAGGTAATTTCCATGTCAAGGTCCTTATGAATAGGTTGGTACAATATATTTATGTTGGGCATCGTTGTCTATAAATGTTTACGACACATTAGTTTATTGTAAATATATATATTTTTTATATTTAACTAGTTTCGATTTGTTATGTTTTCACTCACATACTTGTCAAATAGGTACTCCCGAAATGAGTGTATAAACTCATATCGACTTAATATTTTTCCCTTTTTTTTTTTAAGATGTAAATGATATATTTGTGTTTTTTTTTCATCATTGTAATTTCATTACGTTATGATATTTTATTTTCTGGACAAAATACTTACCTGGTCAAAATGCTCTGCATACATTTAACAACAAATTACCTTTTTCAAGCCAACGACCACACCGGACCAAATTTCAATATTGTTGAAAGTAAATAATAAATAGTAATGTAAATATAATTGTATAGTTCAATTTACTTATTCAAAAACGTCTAAACACTATAATATAATAATTGGATGTTTACAAATTACAAAACAAATAATTTGCCGTACAAAACAAAAGCTACAGTTTATGTCGTTAATTGAAATCGGAATAGTTAAAAAATATTTAACAAATTAAATATTTATGAGTATATTTAATTATTATTATATGAATGAATAATAATTATTACATTATTTCGACTAAATAAGATAAGATGTTACGTTTGAATAGGCTGTTAACACAAACAAAATATTGTATAGGAAAATAGTACAAACGTATAATAATTAAGTTTTACAAAATTAAAAATTACATTAAGTATATCAATCACTTGGGAATTTTTGTTTATATAATAATAATGTTATTAATTACTAACAACCGACTAATGACTAGAAGTTTTCGTGGAAGACGTTCAAATTGACATTAAATAGTTATTTATATTACTATATTATTAATTCTTATGACAATAATAATGTTTAAGAGAAGAAATAATTTAATAACAACATTTATTTAGTTTGGAAAATTGATGTAAATATGGTTATGTTATATATATATATATATATATATATTTTTTTTTATAATGCGGTATACGCTTTTTTATACACCAGCCTGCGTTTGTAAGTAAATAACATGTTAATTTGTTTTTTTCAAAGATAATACATAAAATCTACTTAAGTTTTTTATACTTTTAATGGAAGACGAGTACAGACTTATTGGCAATGTTACAATCTAAAACGTAAAAAATGGAAGACAAAACGCGTATTAGCACTAACAGAATAAGATATTATTTTATAGGCCATACTCAATATTTATATTTTATACTATATACTATTTAAATTATATAATATTATTATTATTATTATTATTACAATAATTTATTACACTCGTCGAATAATAATAAAAAATATTTCTTAATATCGATAGTAATAATAATTAATTGCGTTATTTTTAATATGATTAGGAATTATAATTAAATAGGTGATGCGTGCGCAAAGGACACGAGCCATTTTGGAAGACAAATGTTGTTTATCACAATTTTAATTACAAATAATAAAATGTTTTTTTTTTTTTTTTGGAAGACATAGTTGTTGATATAATATTTTTGGTACATTCACACTAGAATAGTTTCGATGAAATACTGTAAAATAACTATTTTTTTAATAGTATACTATCGTGTTATTTCTAATTAAAATAGGTTTCGTTCATTTTTTTTAATTCAACACCTATAATTTTGTTTGTGATGTAAAAAAAAATCGACAAATACATATATATTCTATGATACATTAACGATAAAATTACAAATTATGTTCCATCGAACTGACAAAGAGTCGATTCGCGAACAAACTATAATTATTGTATTGTATAAACAAGTTTATCGTAGCTGATAATTAAAAACTACATACAAATTTTTTTTTTTTTTTTAAAAATCGCTTCAGCTTCATATTCGAAATTGACTGCGTTTATAAGTAAATATATATATATATATTTTTAAAATGACTATTTTTTCTCGACTGCGACTGTTCAAGTCTTAGGTCGTTTGTTTATTTTACAAGAAGAAGAAAATCCAAAACAAAACTAACCTATTTTATTATATACGACGGTAATATTATTGTTTATGAAGTTTTAGCGAAACTCGCAGTCCACTATCTTACATAGGTACAATTAAATATTTATAAATATTTTCTATTATAGCAAGTTATTGATTATACAGAAGACTATATATATTATGTATATACCTAGTACCTATGTGTTATTGCACTAGACAATTCCGGTATGAATTTTTGACCCGAATTTCAACAAAAAAAGTTGGTATAATTAACAATATTAGTGTAAAATGAAAGAACGACGTTAAAAACGAAATTTGAATTTATCGTAAAATAAACTTAACTCTAATCAAAGACAATAGAGCGATAAGTGTTTTATTGAACAGTAACAAAATGTCGATTGAAACCAAAGCGATAAGTTATTATTGTTATTTCCTTTTTATGATAATTTGTATAAATTATTATTATTATTATTATGTACTGTCAATCGATATCAGTCTTAGTTTGAACGATTCGAATGCCGTTCGAATTCATGTTATATTATTATAATAGATAATACTATTAATTATATAGGTAAAAACAGAGCGGATTCGCTATAAAAAAAAAAAACGTGAACACAACATAATGCCGCGTGCATGGAATATTGGCTTGCCATTCACCTTGTAATATTAATATTATAATATTTTCATTTAATCGAATACTTATGTCCGTTATCGAAAAAACACAAAACGCATTGCGCAATTTCACTTAAAAAAAAAACGTTCAACAAAATAATCTACAATTGCCTAACAAATAAATAATCAAATGTCATTATTGGGCATTTTTAATGGGTGATCCCGCGTGCCATTCGAACTCGGCCCTTAACGAAAAAACAGTTTAAAAAAAAAAAAAAATATATATAACAACAAAACAATCATATTTTATAATACTCGAGTAATAAGTAGGTGTACACCGTTTAAGGCGTTATACCACCCGTTATGATATGGATAATTGCTGCAACAATAATAACATTATTATTATTATTAGTAAGGTATGATGGTTGATTTTTTTAGAAAAAAACATATTAATTTACTGTAATGTCGTTACTTGTGTGAGATTTATCATGCTTGTTTTTTTTTTTTTTCAATATTAGTAAATGCCATGGTGTAACGGTAGTAACGAATTGGGCACTGCACTGCGACGATGGGTGTGATAAGAGCGCGGTGCGGCGATTAGAACGGTAAGCCAATCTGGAACGCTTTAACCATGGCGGAACCAGAATCGTAGACGCCGATGACGCCGAACAGACAGCCGAGGAATATGACGAAGCAGTCGAACATAATGGTCCGCCATTCCAGCGAGTCGCCCTTGAGTTTCAGGTGGAAGTAGCACGGCCAGATGAACGACAACATGGTGCCGGTGAAGCTGCCGATGAAGCCCATGAGCAGCGCAAAGTGCGGTATGGATATGGCCATGAACACGGTGACCAGTATGATAGCCACGCGGAACGCCAGGCCCCAGACCTTGAGCTCGCCGTCCAGGTGCCAGACGCTGGGGAACGCGGTAGCCGGCGGGCCCTTGAACAGCGACTTCTCCAGTATGTCGCACGCCGCGTAATACGGCAGCGGGTACGATAACAGCGCCTTGACCACCAGGAACACGTTGACCAGGCCCTTGAACGACGGCGACTGCAGGTTGTTTGTGATCACCTGCTGCGTGTCGTTCTGGAACGTCAGGAAGCACACGTAGCCGAACAGCGATTTGAATATGGCCGCGGCGATGTGGCTCCAGTCCAACATCCAGTCGAACTTAGACCGGTCTATCAGGTTGCCCTCGAGCGTGGGCAAGAATATCTGCGACGTGTAACTGAACACGATCACGCCCAGCGATATCGGAAAGTTCTCCATGTCGATCGACCACTTCACCTTGCTCCAGCCCCAGTCCGGCAGCTCCAGCACGCAGTAACCGAGTATGATTATGTTGATGAGTATATGCGACATGGTGCACCAGAAGCTCAGCAGCGACACGTGGTGCAGATGCTTGAGGAATCCCAGCGGTATCAGCAGCACGCCCGTGATCATCATCCAGCTGCGCGTGTCGATCACGCCGTCCGGGAACGTGCCCTCCATTAGGTCGCCGCACACCACCACGTACAGTATGCACGTCATTAGCAGTTCGATCATCTGCGCCACGTTCACCACTCGTCCGCCCCACACGGGGCCAAAACACTCGCGGGCGATGGACACGTACGAGTCCCGGACTCGCACCCGCTGACCGGTGTTCAGGTCCAGCTCGTACAAACACTCGATCAGTATCTTACCAGTGTAACAGCATATGTAGGCGATCCCGATCATCGCGGCTATGGCCCAGTATCCTCCTCTGAGAACGGCAAACGGTAGCGACACGATGAACATTCCCTAAGTACAACATTACATCAGATTAACATTATTGTTAAACACTCCCGAATAGCACCGAGAAGTTGGAAACATATAACGGTAAGCCCCGAAGTCCACGTTATACCCAAGGAAATGGTAACTCCACACTAGCTTTCCGATTTCCCAGTGCTATTGGGATTGATTTATTGAGAGGCAGCTGAAAATATTTAAAAAAAAACTGTGCGATTGTGCATAAAAAGTGAATAGAAATATCTTTTAAATAAAGACTTAACGGTTGGGTGTATGCTTTCAAACGAGCGTTTTACTTATATTCAATTCCATAGGAGCTCCATACAAAAATAATTTGACTAATTAATTTTCTGCGTTTTTAACTCAACGAAACCTTTGAAAGTTTAATTTTTCGTTATCGTCGTCGGCCGACAATAAAATCGTATCCGTAATATCTTTCTTCGGTTATTAGCTAAAACAAAAGCTTCTGACTTTCCTCCACTTCTGCGACCACTTCCACCTCACGTTCGACCGCCAAGACTTCCGTGCTATACTTCCCTATCGTGTTGAAAACACACATCGGAAATGTCGTAACTATTTCTCCTGTATTCATTTGAAACAAACACAATGACCCTAAAGTGACTACAAGTGTAAAATATTTACAATACAATGTTAGGGATCGTATTTATTGACAGATAATTATCTAGTAATAAATACTAATAAAATCATTAAAAATTAATCAGGTGCAATGTGCGCAGTTTAACATAATAATTATAATTAATCAAATAATATTGTGCAATTAAAAACAGTGTCAAGTGTGCGGTGACTTATAAATACTTAATTTATTTCGGATGCGTAAGAAACTCACTTATAATAATATTCGGTATTGACCACAAATATCGTTTAGATACCGTTCACGGAGTCACCTAAAAATGTGCATCGATAATTATCTTGAAATCAAAATGGTATAAGCAATCTTGGGAAAAAACCTGAGCAACACTAGTGGTTGTGTACATCAAATTATTGTTAAGTATCCTTAAATTTAGTCAACGCTAACCAGAAGATATTAAAAAAAAAAGAAGTTAAGTATATTTTCAGTGGCGTACGCCACATTTGATAATTGAGGGGAGGAGCGAGCCTTTCGAGACTGTACCTCCATTTAAAAGGCACATACCATAGAATAGAACCCCAGTTTTGAATTATTATTTTGGAGTTATTTCCGTTCAAAAGTATAGGTGGTTATACTTTTGAACGGAAATATTTCCAAACTGGTCTCCTACCGCTCTCCTTTGGTCAGTAATGAACTGATTTAACAATAATTACTAAAATTAATATCTTTAAAGTAGCTGTTCTCAAATTTCAAAGAATTGAGTTTTGTAAAAAATATATACACTATGTTAAATAAGTTACATTTTTTTTTTAAATCATGGAAATAAAGAAATACTTTGTTGATTCATACGAAAAACAGCCCTGGAATATTCACGTTATAGCGCTTAAATCAAACCTACTTGCTTTCCAATTAGTTAAAAAAAACGCAACAAGAGTAGGGCTTTAGACCCCACCAGGGTGGGTACACCACTTTAGATTTCGAAAACATATTTTTCCCCCCTAAATAGTCTAAAGTGATATTTTATTTTTGTGCTCTCAATCCTACTCGTTACTGCGAGCTAACCGTTTGAACATAAATAATGCACGTTTGAGCCACGTGGGATTTTGGTTAAACATACAAGAATCCCCCTTTACCGTACGTGGAAACGTACCTGTATGGCGTTGGTGACGTTCCACGCGGCCTGCCATTCGTCGATCTTGTGTCGTCCACGTCCACCGAATTCACCACCGCCGGATGACGAGTCGTCGTCGAAGCTGCCTTCCATGCTGAAGGTTTGCGGCACCCGCCTTGTCGGGCCATCGCCAGCGACGTCCAAGCCGCGGTTTTCCACGCCGCCGTAAGACGACAACTCGGCGTTGCACGTGGTCCTGAACGGGTTGGTGTCCGGTTTGCCGCCGGCCAGCCTGGTGCTCTCGGCCGGTGCCGGGTTCGCCGGGCCTCCGGTCTCGGCGTCTAGCCCGTCGCCACGGCGTTTTTTGATGGCTTCCAGGCACGGGCTGTCTTCCGGCACGTACGCCTTGACGGCGGCCCACAGCACGTTCATGGCGTTGCCCAACGGCGGCACGTAGAACCGACCGAATTGTGCCATCGGCGCTCTTGTTGTGATCCTTTCGAGCGGTGATCCTCCTAGGACCGACAGATTCCGCTGTTGCTTGACGCTGCTCGACGCGGCTGTGTCACACACGACAAACGAGACCGACCGTCAGTGTAGCATCGTTACTGCTTTACAGAGCGTTGGGGACGCGTCGCGCGAGCCAGGCAAAAGGGGGAAAGAGGCAGGTGCACTAAGTGGCTGTACAAAAATGACAATAACCGAAAAAAAATAAAAACAAATAAAAGGAAACTTAAAAAAAATCCACTCGGTAGTTTTCGTGAAATGGAAGTGATTAGAGAGTAGAGAGGGGAAGGTTCGACGAGCCGGATCGATGAAAAGCGGGCGACCCCTCGTCGCCCTCGTGCCACCCTGCATTCTGGTGTCGGGAGTTTGTGTCGCGAACGGTGCGCCCGGAACGCTTATACCCGTAACCGCGCTTTACGCTTTACTTGCGCCGCCGTTGCCCGGGACCAACGGCCAGAGATAAACGTTCTAAGCGCTTCCATATTTGACAGGTGTCGCACGTTTGATGACGAAAATAATAATAATATGTCAAACACCCGCGAATAGCGATCAAGATCGGCGACGTTGCAATATCCCGCAGCTATTATGTATATTAAATATCTTGACGCTTTATCACTCAATGCCAAAGCTTGATCGAATGTTCAATGTTGACAATTTTAACAGATATGGGAGGGCTTACCAGAGTTGGGCATAATTGAAATACGAAAGTTAAAAGCCAGTAAAGTGGTGGGGTCGTATTGGTGACTCAGCATATTAGGGTGGGGAAGATCACAGGTCTTCCGAAAGTATTATACGACCAAAAGTGATAAAATCACTTTCAAATAAAAGCTTCGATGCGGATCTTTACTTTTTAGACGACAAATATCGAAACAGCAATGTAATAACAATAATGTGGTTAAAATTACATTACTTTGAGTACCTATTGGGGTGGAGAATAACAGGGTTGATCGTCTGTCTATAATAATTTGTTGCCGTGTTTTCCCATTTATCGTAATTAACAATATAATAAAACAAATATTTTTCGGGATAGGTACGGTTAATTTACTCACACATGGCAACTTATTAAGTTGAAAAATATTTCTCAATTATAAAAGGGTGAGATTTTTATAATTATTGGCCAATAAAGTTTTAATAAGTTGTAAGATAATAATAATAAAAATATTTAAAAACACATTGTAAAAATAATACCTTCTCAGCTTCACATCGAAACTAATAATAGATAATTTTGACAAAATGTAATATATTTTTATAGAAAAAACTATAATAAAACGTTTTCCATAAAATCCTTGTTTTTAATGGTTGTATTTTAATATACTATTAGTATTCCCGAGTAGACCTTGAGTAGTAATGTAACTACCCTTTATGTGGCGATAAGTTTAACAACGTTTTGTTGATGGAAGCCAATTCAGTATTTATCATAATATTATTTGTGAACAAAAATGTACTCAACCTAAGTAACCGCTTATTCTGTAAATTACATAATTTATATTAAAGTCGCTTTTTACATTTGCTTTTAACATGTGTTTTAAACTATCAATTTTTTTTCGAAATAACATTATAATTTTTCATTTTGGAAATGGTGAATCGCTCAATATTGTTTTGAGTTAGTACTCTAATCTATGATCGTAATTATTCTAAGAATTATAATTCTTAGAATAATTATTGTATACAAACATTAAACAACAAAGAAGCTAAAATAAAAAAATAAAAACACAATTTAACAGCGAAAAACTTGTAATATTATATAAAAATAAAAGTATAATAATTTCTATACAAGTTACGATTCAACAGAAGATTCAATTACAATATTGCTTCGTAATCATTAATTAATGATTATTTTGTACATTCATCATACAGTACACAATTAAATAACTAGGTCGGTAACACAATTTTTATACTTGGAAATTATATGGTATTTAAGAAGCCTTTGTTTATTGGACGCGGAATTTTGGAACTGGTAAAAACAACAAATGTTAGACAACAAACTTTCGTTTAGCGCCAATTCAGGAAATCTTTGTATTGCATCTTCTAACAAGGCAATGGCATTGTTCAGTTGCCCTTCGTAAAACAAACACGTAGCCATATTGTTTAAAGCCTAAAAAAAAATATAAGTATTAAGTGTAGGTAATAAAACTTAATCAATGTTGATGAATCTGTCTACCATAACTTTATTGGAACTTAGAATATACGCGTTCTCAAAATGTTTGTACGCGTCTTTGTAATTGTTTTGTGCAATGGCCAAAAGCGCTGCATCGATTAATTCACGTTGATCAGCTTTATTTTCACTCAATGTTCCCCTGAAATATTAAAGACAATTCATCAAAGCTATTCTGAAAGACTGAAAAACTACTTAGTACTTACATTACTTGAGGTTTCAACCGCGAAGATTTAAGGAAATAAGTATGGGCCTTAAGATCGCCGACTTGTAGGCAAATTCTACCCATCGCTGACAGAAGTGATCGATTGTGATCAATTGTATAATTTAATCTAGGCTTTTCAATTAGATTTTTCAATAACTGTATAGCAAGTTTGTAATTCTATTAAAAAAGAGTACATATTTTACTATGCTGTTTTTACTTAAATGTTTATTTTTGTTTACTATAAATTTACTTTTTGATTAACAGCACAGTTAATGACGGAATGAATGACTCGCGATTCTCTCGAGTACCACAAAAGTCTTGACGTATTGCGGTCTTGAATTGAGAGTTCAATATTTTGACCATCTTCGGCTAAGCCGTTTTCTAAGTTATTGATAATCTGAAAAATAGCAATTATAATAAAATGTTTTTGAAAATAATCGGTTTCTTCAAAATTCAAGACTGGGTATTCTTTAAATTTAAATAATAAGTAACCATTTATAAATGATGAGTTATTTGAAGTAACTCATTTTTGTTTAGCACAACACATAGTTTTTTTTTCTACTAGAGACAAGAGTTGCCATCAAGAGTTTCTTATTAGTACTTACAAATATTTTCTTTTAACAAATTTTTATTTATAATTATGAGAAAACCCTATCCACAGTAAAATATACTTATAAACTTAATTATATAGTAAAAACACAAGTTACTCTAATTAAAATTTTTATTTGATTGTTTAAAATAACCTGTTATTTTTACAAATGTATTTTATTTTAATACTTTTCATTTTTCAAATATTTTTTTTTGTTATTTTAATTTGTCCAAATAAAAATGTATTTAAAATTATTATTTGGATACTTGTTTAAATAAAAATAAAATGTTTTATATATATTATTGTAGTTTTTATTAAAATAAATGTTTATTTTAATAAAAATTACTTATGTGATGCACAGATTACTTTAAATGTTCCAATCGCATACCTACTTTTTTAATAGACGTTAGCACTTCAAACAGTTTTTTATAGACATTTGAAGACGTTGTATATTGTGGTAACTCGGCTAATATTAATCTCAAACTAAATGGCACCAGTGTTCCATTTTTGTTACCATACAGTTCTTTATACCATTGCATATAAAGATCTGGTTTGTCTAAATCCTCCCAGGCAAGGGCTTCTTTGCTAGCAATTTTCCAAGCACAAGTTTTCACCAATAACGAAAATCTCGTAAGCCACAACTATAACGTTACACTTATTAATTTAATACAATTTCTTCAACGCTGGTAAAATAATACTGATGTACCTGTAGGGAATGTTTAGTGTGTTTACTCGGGTAACCCATTTGTCCTGGTCCTTGTCCGTACATGGCTAATAGTCTGGTAGTTAGGTTTAATGCCTCGGCATGATTGCCGTCTTCGATTAACATTTTTAGACCTCGATCGTCTTGAGTAACTTCTTCTATGGTTTTACTTTTAAATGGAGCTGCTTCGATTTTACCGAGGTATGATACGAGACCTTCGTACGTTTTATTAGTCTAAGACATCACAACAACTCGTTAATAATGAATTTGGTTGATATTATTTCACAAAAAAAAACTGTTTGGTATACTCACAAAAGTAACATTTTCTACTCCCGGCGTGGTTAGCATATCTCTGGACAAGTTATGATTTATATGAGAACCTTTATCCAGTATACTTTTCGTCTTGACCGAGGGTATCCAAGCAAAACGTCTGCGTTCGTCTTCAACAGGTATGGCTGAGAGTTCATAATCATAAATGAAAATATCCTCAGACTCTTCCTCGTTGTTACTAGTATTCATAAATGATGCTAAAAATGAATTTATATTATTTATGTAGTTAATGTAGCTAGCCAACGATCAACACTTACCTTCCCGGACCTCGAAACCCGGACTCGTGTTGCGGCTATTGTCAGATGGTTTGATAATGTCGAATATGTCGGTTTTCTTGGAGTCTATTTGCTGGAAAATACGACAGACAGCCGGTTCTTCTCGCTTCAAATCATTTGTCGCGTGAGACGATATTTTGTCGAACAGGTCGGACGACGGCGATGGGTCTTTGAAGTACTCATTGATGGCTGGTCGCAATTCCGGTGTCTTACGATCCATGTCCTCGTTGGCTAGAGTTATAGAACTTTGAACTATCTATTTAAAATACTTTTAATGAATAACAATGATTTAAGGTATACTATAAGGGATATTTGATCATTTATGGTATGTAAATAAAAATATTTTTGATGATTTTTTTCTTATCAGGTAATCATTATTTTATCAGTGATCGTCTATGAAATAATATCTATTTCTAAATAAAACAGCTGACAAAATCCCGTTACTTTTATTTTTAATAAATACCTAATAAACTGTATTATGTATACATTATATATATATATGTATACATAATGTATAAACGTGTTTTTTTTTTTATCAATCAAGTGGTTTAATTTTTTCTGGTTATATATTTTTTTTCTTAGAATGTAGTGTTTTGTTTTTCGTTGTGTATGTGGACAAAAATGTGAGCTCTCTGCTCTCTTGATTAAAGTACAAAAGATTGTTATTTACAATAATTTACAGTCCATATACATTTTTAAACGTCATCCTTCTGTACATTTCGTTTTTAGTTGTTAATCAGTTTTTTTTTTTTTTAATTAAGACATTTTTTATTTACCTACTTGCCTTTACAACACTGCATATTGTTTCCATTTGTAATAATGTCTTATTGTTTAAACACAAATGTCATGGATGTGGGTGTGATGCCGTCACAGTTTTTAAATGTTGTTATTGACGACACACAGACTGGTTCTAATTACAACAGAAAAAATCATCCGGTCATGACCATGGCGTCGATTTCTAAATCCGTGAAACGAGCATTAGAGTCTGAAACTACGATTACTCCCATTTACGAAAATTTCAAGTAAGGCCACAGTGACATGCTTAACAATTTGCTCATAATAAACCTTAATAATTACCTAATTACAATTTCAGGCAAGCCAAATTTGTAAATGTCAATTCGGGACATGTAGGAAGAGATTTGGCTAATAATTTTCCAATTAAACTGCCAGCCACGTTATTAGCGGAGTGCACTGTAGAAATATCAAATATACCAACCAAAAATACAAAGTAGGTATTATATTTAAAATCTTGTACAAAATATTTTAAAAACAACTTTTTTAAGTGTTTTTAAATTGTGTATTTGAACCTAATAAGTCATCAAAATTAAATTATAATTAAGGTAACGTTTAGATATGATTCACCTTAATTAAATGAACTAAAGCAATACAATACAATTACCTGTTGTGTATAGAATTGTATTAAATCACAACATAAGACCAACTATTGATTGATTTTTAGGATTCCATTACGGAAATCTGGCTGGATGTAAAACAGATTTTTGTCTAGCAAATATGAATTTTTAATTTGTATATTTATTCCAAATGAATTAACATAAATTTATCTTTATTTCAATGCCAGTATAGTCTACAAAAAATACTATCTCAATTTGTATACATTATTTTTATTACAATAATAATTGATTAGGTATATCAGTTATAAACTATAGATTATTTTGTTTACATATAATATAAATGACAAAACAACAACTTTTAAATAAGTTTTAGTTTTTATATCCATAAATTAATGCTAAAATATTGTTTGTAGGAACTGATTAATTTTAGTTTAAGTTTAATTTTGCTATAAGTAAAATATTTCTATTAGTATTTTCCTAATTTAATGTAACGTTTATATCAAATTGACATATAAGTAAAACATGGATTTTTCGAATCATAGTTTTGTATTGTTCTAGGCCGTTGTCCGAAAGCAATTTGATTACTAAGAAAAGTAGTCCACCAGTCGATAAAAAAATTGGAAATCAGGTAATCTATGTGTGTTAGCTTATAATTTATTTGTTAAATTATTAATATGTGTGTGTGTGTAATTGTTTTATATAATTATTTAGTCGAAAGGTTCAGAAAAAGAATTATCGGATGCAGATATTCAAGATATGATCACCCGCGTTGAAGCCGTATATTCAGATGACGAAGACACATCAAAACAGTTGGAACCCGAAATCGAGGTCCAACAACCTGAAAATGTGTTTCCGTTTTCTTGTGAATATTGTCCCAACAAATTCAGCAACAGAGGTGCTCTCTGGCAACACACAGTAGCTACTCATTCCATCGAGAAAACGTGTGAATGCAATTTGTGCGGACGTAAATTCTACCGTAACTGTAGTCTTGCGCTACACATGAAAAGCCATTCGGATGAATACAACTGCGCTTGTTCAATTTGTGGTAGGGAATTTAATCGGTTTACGTTATTACAGCGTCATGCCAAGTTGCATTCAGAAGTGGCTCATTTTAAGTGCACTGCGTGTAACAAGTCGTTCGAAGACTTGAACACCTTACAACTGCATGCTGCCGAACACAAAGACAAGTTAGCTTGCGAACAGTGTGAGGCCGTGTTCACTACTAAAGAGTCGTTGGACATACACACAGAAGCAATGCATGGCGATCATCAGGATGATGTAATTCAGGTTAGAATGCACGGAGGAGAGAAAACATACGCCTGTCGTTTTTGCGGCAAAACTTACGGGGCCAAAGCGATTGTCAAAAAGCACGAACTCATACATACTGGTGAACGACTGAAATGCGACGAATGTGGAATTGAGTTTACTCAGAAATCATCACTTATGCGACACACAAAACGTATACATCCCACTGCCAACTCGTAAGCAATACATCATTAGGTTAAACCACAAATTCCATTACACAAGAGCTGATAGACTAATAATATTACATATTTTTTATTACTCCCTAGTTTTAAGAACGCAATGAAGCATCATTTATGTACAACTCTGAAGGACTTCAAGTTAAATCCTTGGTAAATGTAATTGACCAAAGTTTTCTAGATAGTCAAATTATTTAGTTTAATTTCGAATCGAGTAGTAGTTTCTCGATAAACTGCAAACAAAGCCTAAGTTTGAAAACAAAATGACTGCGGGATAGGTCTCTAATTAATATTATATATTATGGGTATAAATAGGTACATGTAAATATAATAATATACTTAAAGTGATTCTATGTACTCCAAAAGACTTCTAAATTGCCTTTCCATGACAAACTATAATAATATATATATATTTTAATTTTAATTGAGAGTAGGAACAATTTTTTTTAAAAATATTTTTTTGTTATTTGTTAATGTTATAATATTTTATATACATATATACTTGAATATAGAGCTCTTGATTTTTAACAGGTAATACTTATAACATTATATACTTGGGTACAAGATTTTTTGGGTACCTGAAATTCTTGTACCCAAGTATCAAGAGTTCTACTTATATACTTTCATAATGCCCAGGGTCAATTATAGCTGTGATATGTAAGGACAGGTGCTGGAAATGGGTATTAATCTTAAACACTAAGATTACAATTACACGTGCTCTATGCCCAAATCCATTATACTACAATATTTACTTTCATTTATTCTCCTTCTGTGATAATTCTAGAAACTGACATTTTTTACAACACTGTAACAAATACTTTTCTATAAATACTGAAACACACGATAAACACGCTTAATTATAATATTTTTATTATAATTATTGGTAAATACATCAAGTATGTGTAAATATAAGTATTGATATATTTTTTAAATTTTATCCTCAAAGTCTGTTATAGTGCAATTACTTTTTAGCATAAGAATTATATATTATATTCATATATAGCCCACATTGTAGAATAAATATTAATTAAAAAATATATTCAAGTTGATTTTAGACTCCCATTGATAGGTACAACAAAAAAAACTTTATATATATATAGATTATGTATTAAATGTTCTGTTGTAATTTTATACTTTTTATAATTAAATGGTAATTGTTTATTGTTTATGTTAACTAATTTATTTTTCATTATCATAATGAACATGTAAGAACATTTGTATATTTATTTCATTACATATTTGTTAAAATATTAATAAATTTAAGATTACTTTAGCTGTTAATAACAATTACAAAAATATTAAGTACATATTTCCCAAATGTTATAATACTTTTACATTCAATTAAACGTGTTAACGGTCAATTACTTTTGAAACATAATAACTAATAAGTATGTTGTTTAATTTAATATAATTATTTTAATAATTATCCTTTTATGTGGTACAAATTATAATATTAAGAAATAAGAACCGAACAAAATCATTATTTATTAATATTATTTGTCATCACTCTAACGTGTCTTGTTAATTGTTATAATGTATTTTTTAGTTAACATTTTTTTTTTTTTAATTTAAAGTTAAGCTTTTGAACAAATATAGGTACCTCTTTCTATTTAATTGTAAGTAGCAAAATAACAATAATCATTATGTTATTTAATATTTTCAAATTTGATACAACTTATGCTTAACTAAGCATCAAAACGACTGAATAAAATCTATGTATTTGAAAACATATTTTTTAACACTAAATATAGACTTGTAAAAAACCAAAACTTATTGGTTTGTATTTTGTTAGTACAACATTAAATTATTTTTTTTTATTATTAAATTATATATTTATTAATTTTTCAGAAATATTATAAATGTTTTTTATGCTGTTATTTTGTCTTGTTTTTTTTATTTGTGCATCAATTTATTGTGTTCTTTGAGGGGGAACGTTCTTTAAGTGTTTATAATTTAAATTTTTTATAGATATTCTAATAAATCTAACTAATTTTCTAATAGCTAATCAAAAATTGGCCTTTGGCCCCATAAAAATCTAAGCTTCACAAAAAAAAATTAAATCTGTACAATAAATCCGCCAGAAAATGACTTCTACGAAAGTCATTTTTTATCACCATTACCCGGAGAAAAATATTTTTACTCCTTAAAATTAACCTTAATAATTTATATTTAAAATGGCTATATACTAGATAAATTTTTTCTAAATATTGCCTACTCTTTGCTCCTTAATAAATAGTGCTTTTCATTCATCTCAATAATTCTGTCCAATTATTAGTCAGACCATACATTATTACAGAAATAATTTGTATACCTATTTTTCATTTACGTATACTAACCTGAAATATCCTTATCTTTAAAAAATGTTTTCTTCTTTAATACCCATTCGATTGTAAACCTTATTGTTAAACGGACATCGTTGCCTCCTTCAGCAAGTTTTCAAAACATATTCCCTAAAGAGTCGTTAGACGTTAGTACGTCGCAGTTTCTTTTCACTACACAGTTTCTGTCGACAACAAAAGCGGTACACATTTGATGGATTATTAGGAAATATTGGTTTAACAGAATTAATTGATCAACTTTTATTACTTTAGTTTATACAACTTTGTAATAGACACTTGTGGTCATACTTCGATGATGTATTATTTTCCGTTTTAAAATTCCAATGATGAAATTGATTATCAACGTTTTAACAATAAAAAGTAATTATTTTTAAACATTTTAATTTCCCCTCAATTTTTTACGTTTGTTAAAACGAATAAATCCGCGGGATTAGAATGTTGCAAAACTATCAAAATTTGTTGTCGGAACTTTGATTTAAAAATAAACATTATTTTGATAATTTTGACAATTATTAGTACAGTACAGCTAAATACTTAAAATAACAAACATGTAATTTTTATAGACCTAATATTGATGTTATAATAATAATATTGTCAAAAATGGATCGATATTCATTATATTACAACAAAATAAAAATGTCAAATAGTATACTTTGAAATGTAATGTGTTTATTTTTGTTTTTTTATTACTGTAAAGAAAAATAAGTACAAATAAAAAAAATGACGTTAGCGCGTAGTAGCATTTCTGTTTTTCATTTAATTTTTTGCGGTTGGTAACAATTTTACCGACAACTTTTAAATCTTATCAGTCGATACAAGTATTAATAATTGTTCTAAATAATAAACATATTTATTATTTTCCCTTACAGCAGCTTTTTTATAGTTAATAAGTTTTAAGTAGTTACTTTTACGGCATAAGCTTAACGGTTGATTGTGTTAAATTTTCTCAGTACATTTTTTTAATTTATAGTTAGCACAATGTATTATGAATTTTAAAAAAATGAGTGCTTTAAACATTATAAAAATTAAAATATAATACTTATACCCTTTAATAATAAATGAATCATTCAATCTATGTATAATTAAGTACCTAGTTATTTTATTAAAAAAAATAATGTTTAAATCGGGCAAGTTCAAAAGTTGCGTGTTATGTTCCAAGTTAAGTAACAAAAATCCAATGGTATCATTTCACAAGTATGTCTTAATAGAAAATAATAATATTTCATTTTAACTGTACCGTTATACCTAGGTATCTTAGAACTTTTTTTTCCCCCTAAGATTTCCATCCAATAGTATAATGCGTTCTTTATGGACAAAGGCCTGTGGAATTAACGAAAAAGATTTTTTACCGAGCACAGTTATTTGTTCCATCCATTTTGAAAAAGACTGCTTTAAGTCTGTGTCTAAAAAAATATTAAAGCAAGACGCCATTCCTACTAAGTTCATTAGAGGTTTAAAATCTTCAACCAGGTATATTGTCTTAACTCTTATTATACATTAGTGTAATAATTAAATAGCTGTTATTGTGTCTTGTTAGTCATCAATGCTTTTTACTATTTAAAGTCAATTTCAGAAATTTAGCTATTTAAAAACACTTGTTAATCCTCAAGAGCAACATAAAAACAACGAAGACTGTCAAAGAGACAAAAATGTTAACACAAGTTTAGAGTCTGGTCTGTGTATCGATGAAAACCAACCAGGTACTTCAAATGTTTCTACAAAGTCTTCTGTGTTAAGTCCGAGGTTTGGTTATTAAAAATATAATAATATATTGTAGCCATTTAAATCAAATTTAATAAATTCTTTCAAAACCTAGTGAGTCATCAGACAAACAAATAATAAGACATTTTATTGAATCATCTACAGTTCCAATAGTTTTTCATAAAATGTTAGATGATTGGGAATTGTTCACTTGGGATCTACAAAAATGGAATCAAGTATTTGTAAATCAGCCCCTCGATTGTAGAAAAGGGAGAATTACTTGTACAAAAGTAAATACAATACATATCATACTTCACTAAAGTTTTGTTTTTATCATATTTACTTACTTTTTTGTTTTTAGGAACCATTGTGGGAAAGCAAATGTTTTCAAGAAAGTCATTCATTTAATGATATAATTGATATATCGGAGAATGTGGAAACTGACGGTAATTGGTTGTATTTTGATTATAAATATATAGGAGAAAAAGTCGATAGTAAAATGTTTAAGGTAAATAATACAAATTTGTTTATTTAGTACCGTATTAAAGAGTATGATTTCCGACAAAAAATTGCTCACCTATTTATATATATGTCAGGAAAACCTCCTCTTTGAATTAGGCGGCAGAGATAGCCCTAAATGGTTAATATAATTATATATTATTAACTATTTAAAGGCATTACTACTGTCTAATCCGCCTTTTCCTCACAAATTTCCTGTCTGTTATCAGACTGAACTGTAAATGTATTTGTAAAATATATACGCAATAATCAAATGCCTAACAAAAAAAAAATATTTTAGATATTTAAAGTTTAAATGAAAAAGTGTTATATTATTATACCAATACTATTTCAGTCAATTTCTTGGAAAAAATTTGGCTATGAAAATCTAAACGAAAAAGATTCTACTTTGTGGATTGGAAGTACCGGAGCTCACACGCCGTGTCATCAAGATCTGTACGGAATTAATTTAGTTGCTCAAATATATGGAAAGTTAGTCCGAATGTACATTTAGTACATTGAATTGCAAAATGTAACAATGACAAATTCAATGTGCATTATTTCGCTTTACATCTATAGGAAACGTTGGATTTTAATGCCGCCGGAAATGGGAAAATATTTAAAACCCACTAGAGTACCTTACGAGGAATCAAGTTGTTACAGCAAAATAAATTTCTCTTGTCCAGATAATCTTAAATGTAAATTGGTGAAATTAAATAGCTCTAGAAGTTTTGTATTAGCTACTCTGTTATTTTACAGCGATTAGCGAGTATTGTAAATGCATATCAATCGTTTTATCACCTGGTGATGTTTTATACGTACCTCATAAATGGTGGCATTACGTTGAGAATGTATCGCCCGCCATAAGTATAAACAGTTGGATACCAGTTCCTAAGTATGACAACCTGAGCAGACTGAACGAGTCTATTATACGTTTTTTAGTTAGCAGCGTTTGTTCGGGCGTCTCGAAGAGTGTTCAGTCTCGCTTGTTGAATCCAAATGAAGTAAGTAATGTAAACATAATAATGACAATATATTTTTAATGAAATGTATTTGGTTTTTTATTTTAGAAGTTTACACCAGACACTATTACCGAATCCTTACGTTTTATTGATCAAAGTTTAAATAAGGTAATTTAATTACAGGCGAAGCGTTACAAAAGACCATAAGCATATGTCTACCAGTTATATTTAATTTAAATAACCATTATTTTTATACAGTTTTCCCCTGACTTTAAGACTCGCATCTCAATACTAAATTATAATTAGTTTTTCAACCTCCATTGTTAAAAAAAAATTGTGTTCGTTTAGGTTAACAATGACGCTGCATCTTCTACAGAATTTAATTTCAAAATACCTACACCTTTGGATTACCAATGTACCTTATTGAAAGCAGATCAGTTATTAAATAGTATTGATGTCAATACAAAGTATCACAGTTGTAACCATTCACCAAAATATCTAGAAAGCGATATTCCAAACAATATACATGAACAGATTTTGAATTCTTTGTGCGACGAAAATGTGATGAGTCGAGTCATTAGTAATTTATTAAATAATAATTAATTATCAACATGTATAAGTAATATTATTCAAATTTTTGTTTTTATAAAATATTCAAGCCGAGTATTATTTTAATGTTTGAAATTTTATAAATTAAAAAAAAAAAAATGGTACTCATGGCTTTTATTAGATGTATTATGTCTTGTAACTGACAGATTGATTTACGTACATTTTACATGCAATCAGTCAGACCATTGTAATAAACACCACTCAAGTTGTAAAACCATATAATTTGTTAGGTATAACAACATTACATATAACAGGTATATCGACATTCATTGAGCATAATAAACGCAAATCTACCGAAATTATTGTACTTACTTAAGACCCCTGGATACTGACCGTTTTTTCAGCCAAAACACATCATTTTTTGTCCATCGCACAGGCTGAACCATTAATCCGATAAGCAATCTAAAAACAGTTATGAATTTGTCATGAAGTTTACTTGAGATCGGTCAGAGCACTTTTTTCAATTTTTAATTTTAACCCTTTCCAAATTTAATTTTAAAATTTAAAATTTTATAAAATGTTCAAACGTGTTTTATGCGTAGTAAGAATAAGATATCAAAAAAGTACGCTGACCGATCTCAAGTAAACTTCATGACGAATTCAAATCTGTTTTCAGATTACTTATCGGTTCACTGGTTCAGCCTGTGCGATGGACAAAAAATGTACTATTATATAAACTAAAATGGCTTTTACTCATAGACAAAATTATTTAAATTAAAAATAATACCATGAAGTTCATATAAATTAACCGGTAAATTAATTAACATGGTCGAAATTTAATAAAATCAATTTTTTCTTAAATATTGCCTATACAAAACTCCTTAAAAATGGTCGGTATCCAGGGGCCTTAACAACTAAAATGTTTGAGTACCTATTTTTGTATGCCGGTATAAACTATACTCTATAGGTACAAAGTTAACTACATTTTATAGTAGCCCAAAATGTAAATGTTATGACCAAAACATAATTTTATATCTGACGTTTTAGACCTAAAAGCCTGACATAATTACATAACTGGTTCGGTCTCCTAGATGGTGAATAAGTAAGGGAGATCCAGTGTTCACAGATAAAATTACAAATATTGATGAAAAAAAAGTAACCATCTCATGATGGCAGCGTTGGACCTTCATGACCGGTTAAGCTCGTATGATGATGATGACGATTAGAGTTAATCGTATGTCTATAAAAATGTACTGCCGTAGTTAACATTATAATGAAAATATTTTCATTACCTGTTGACTGTTGATTCACAACTATCACATAGCAACCTAGAAATTGACTACGGTCAAAGTGTAATGTTCCTTTTTTTTGGGGGGGGGGGGGGGGGTTCCCTTAATAAAAAAAAGTTTGACTACAGTTTTTTTAGAAAATTGTACATGTTATAGTTCCATTCTAAATTTACCTTCGGTCTAATTTTGAGATCTAAATCCATAAAACTGCTTGAAAAAGTGAAATAAAGCGCCCCTATGTATGATAAAACCTGGAGACCATTGTCTTATAAATAAAATAAGAATTTAATATGTTAAAAAGAATGATTTTACGATTGTTGTTTAGACAATAATTGAGAATATGTGCTATTCACGTTAAGATGAACATTTTTTTTTGAATCGCTGTCAAAGAGACTGTGATAGTCCGAAAAATAATTTAACTACCATAAAAAAAGTCCTAGTTACTGAACTAATAATTACACCACACAGTTTAACTTTTAAATTAAGAATTTGCAAAAAATGCCCTACATCTAACTCCTAAATAAAAGGGGGGGGGGGTATGACGTCCTCTTAAATGCTTTACGATTGTCATATTGCGTGAATCTGAGCATGCATTTATACACTGAAAATAGTGTTTTCAAAATAACATTAACGAAAAAACATCATACACGTTAGGTTTGTTTTTTTTAATTTATGAAAGTAAATAGATAACTAATATTGGTATACTACATAATTTATATTAATTATACTTATTGTAAATACTAATAAACGTGTTTATTCCCTGTCGCTGTATACTTAAAAATGTCCACAACACAATAACTAGGTTGAATATATTTACTTGTTTATACTTTATGCGTTTTTTTAAAACAGTTTTTACTAGGACGTAATTGCAATATTGATAGGATATTTTAGTAAAGGAAATTCACAGAATCGACGAATATCTTAACATTTGTCACTAATTGACGACGATCGACGTTTTCTCTTCAAAGACAACGGGAGTGGTTTCATATTCATTCGGTCCTGTAAATATAAAAACGTATAGTATTAGGATAGCCACCATTGCTTATTCAAGTTCAAGTTCAATATTAATTTAACCAATAAGCTCAAATCTACTTGGTAAAAATAGTTCTATCCTATCTTTTACGACGGAAATAGGTGTTTTGATTTGAGAACGTTTTTAGATTATTTACTAACAGAAACATTTAATTCGATTGTAGTTAACATGAAAAATATGCGCTATAAATATGTTGCTTTTTAACGATTGGGTTAAGTAAGGCGCAGTGAGGTTAATATTAAGAAAGAAAAGAATAAATGGGTCGCTGTAGTTTTTTTTTAAAAAAAAACTACGGCGTTATGGTGCAAGTCCGAAATTATTACAATCAGTTGTATTTTTTTTTGTTAGTAGTTGGCAACACGCCAATTTCTTCGTTAAAAAAATACTAATTAAGCTGTTTTTTGAACGTTTTGCGGTACGCGACGTAGCAAAAATAATAACAGAACAGTGACTGGAAAAAAATTAAAGAGTGCGCTACCGGCAATAGGTAATTAATTAGTAACTTAATTCAAGTAAGATCAATGATTGTTAAGTCTCATGAGACTAAGTAGTCATCGTTAGCTGAAACGTTATCTATACACATCTATATTAGTATTTTATAAAGGATTCGTTTATTTATAGTCCATTTTTATAAATTATATGACTCCAGTAAAAGTATTATCAAGCTCATATATAGACATTTCTATACTCATAAAGTGTATAAAATAAAAATTATATACTTGATCGAAATCCATTAAAGTAGTTATTAAAAACTTGGATAAATAATATTAGTATTATACTATAATAAAACAAAAAGAAAATTAGTAATTGCCCTAATTACATGAAATGTTTTTTTAGATCGTTGAAACCTAACGAGCTAACCTGTCGTACAGAATCTTGTCGACAACATTTAAAGATATGTAATATTATTAATGTAAAGATACATGATATTTATTAAAATAATGATAATTAACAGTTGCTTCTTTAAACTAAATAACTGGTATTAAGTCCTTATAGGAGAAGAAAAACATTATAAAAAAGTACTTAATAATACTGAAGTATAACTGCTAAGGATACTGTAATACAGTAAATTAAACACAAAAAAGTCATTAAACGTTTTTTTGTAAAATTTGGAGTATGTAGTTATCTAGAAAAAATAGTGGAGCACGATAAAAAAATCGTTATATTATATATTCTTATTTGTTTTTACTTTTATGGTACGAGATGCAAGCGTGTATCAATATTGCATAACCCGAACGCCGTATAATAGGGTTTTCTAAATAAAAATGTAGAAAGTTACCCTATAAAACTATCATTCAATAAAAACATTAGATTAATCTAGACTAGGTGAAATATAAAATAAAATGTATTTTTAAACTGCAGTGACGTTTATTAATGATCAAATTATTTGTCGTTCCAAAATCATTAGTAGTCATAGTAAAATCATCAGTTAGATTATGTTTAAGAGTATATTAACAATTTTTTTGTTTAAAAAGTGTTTAGCCAAAAACTGTCGTTTTTGTTTTTATAACAATATATTGTTATAATAAATTACATTTTTAAAATTCCAAATATCTCCATTACCCACCGCCATGGCGGTGATTTCATTAAGGCGTTACATCTTCTTACGACAGGATTAACATTTACGACGTTCACGTTTCGTGGTAGATGTCGATTTTAATTTAAAGTTACTCTACAAAGACATCTCATCGTTATGATTGTTATTGAGTGAACATTTATCAAGGCGCAACAGCTCAAATTCAACTCTACAAACCCTGTTATTTTAATACAATATACTATTGTCCGTCCCATTGTGTTCACATACACCCAAAGGAACGTTTTCACGATTCTGAAACCACAACGTCGTCCCTATACTCACACAAATAAATACTCTGCTATAGACTATCGGTCGACCTGACATAAATCGTTTAGCAAACATGAAGCGGGCTCAGTAAACACTGGTAGACCAAACCCATGTAAAAAAACGGGGCATTCGAATTAGAGAAAAAAAAATCCCATTTACACGGTGTTTGTCATGTGAATAGGTTCACCTATCTGTGAACCTAGTCAAAGAAAAAAAGGACAATGCTCGGAATTATCCATATTTTATTTAAAAAAAAACTCTAAATATCTTACTCACGACGTACGTTAGTAAATGTTTATGTGAATTTGTTAAATCGAATATATGACAATTACAAATTAAGGTACTTAATTGTTATGTGAAATGAAATCCAAACGGCGTAACTTATTGGTGAAAAAAAACTATAATTAAGGAATTACATAAACATTAGAGTTTGGTACCAAATCTAATAGCCATAATATAATTGCCACGGTGATGGGTAAACGTGATTTTTTTTCAAAAATTAAATATACTATTACACTATAATCTATATTATATATTGTTAAAAAAACGACAGTTTTTCTATATTGCTACAGACCACTTTTCTTTGGGAAAAAATCAACAATAAATACTAAAGTCAAACTAAATATTTTAATCATTAATAATGATGCGGTGATTAATAATGTGGTTAAAACCAAAAGAGTATAAGTGATAATTTGTTTTGCTTTAAAATTAGTTATAAAATTAATTAATTTTTGAAAGAGATTGAAGATAACTAGTAAAATTAAAGTGAGAATTTTGCATCTGAAAATAGGAAATACATTTGTTTTTAAGGTAAATTTCTGAACGTTCGATTTTTGAATTACCGAAAAAACAGGAAACTAACCTACTATAGATACCTTTCGAGCTAAAATATATCTTTATTTTTAGTATATTTACAATAATATTTGACATAGAATGTTTACTCAGTGAACAGATTACAGCCAATATTATTGCAAGTACTTTTGTTTAAAAATAGATAAAATAAACACTACCGTTTACTTAATTGTTGTATACAAACATGGCGATTTTTAATTGTGCATTATATTATTTCTTTGCTGACGTCTCTTTAACTTTTGTTTTTTTCCAAACAAATATACTTGATCAAGACAAACTCTATTATATGACAAATATAAGTATTTAGAGTCAACAGTCTGTAAGGCAGTTGTGTAAATATGAAGGGAAAATGTAAGTGCGATATTTTCAATGAAATAATCGTCGATTGATTGTAGTTTAATCGAAAGTTTTTCAATTTTTCTGACGGTAAGTTTTATTTAATTTAATAGAACTAAAAAAATTTGTCTTATAAAAAAATAAACAAAAATAATTACATTTGCACTGATTGCTCGTTCGCTTACAGTCACCTAAACCTGACCGTGTAGTTAATTCTGACTTTTAAGCTCGGTTTTGTCGGAACGCGTTTAACTTTACACTTACAAGTTTTGTGACGAAACCGTATTAAGTTACCGAAACATGATTATGAAACATTTGGAAGAGACCGAGTTGAATGAGTTTCAAAAACCGGAAATCATTGTTCTCGAACGACGCAAGGACTTTGCTCGGGTTTTGTTGGTTGTCGCGATTGGTACTTTGAGTTGAACAAAATGTTTTTTTAAGTCTTGTACTCACCCATCGTCTTCTATTACAAACTGTTTAAGGATTTCTTTTAACTAATACACACAACATCAGAGTTGAGTATTATTCAAATAACTAAATAGTTTTGTTGATAGTTTATTGGAATCATTTTAATAAAATAATGTTAGTTGTGACTTATTAAAAAAAAAAAAATAATGATCAGACAATGTATATTTCTTTTTCTCTATAAGAAAAATTACTATAACCTACGGATCTACTTATATAGTATATATATATATATATATTTATTCCGTTAAATGATTTGTTATTTTTCGAAAAACAATTAATTAAATAATATTACTTTTAAAAAAATGATTCCAATAAAATATTGACTATTTATTTTCAAGCAAAATACGTTAATCAAGTTGTTTCACTTTTTTATTACACTTTAATTGAATTTGGCCTAAATTTTGAGTACCGATTTTTAGCTATATAAAATCAAAAAACGTGCAACATTTCCCTATAAAAATTAGGTATACAAATATGTAAGTAGAAAAATAATAATCCAAAAGCTTACTTATCATTAAAATATATTAGGTATACCCGAGTAGGGAGCAATTTTTATGTAAGTAATTCAAATTAATGAATAATGCAATTGAAACGTTAATTTAACGTGTTACTATGATAAATTATATTTATTTATATGCCCTAAACTGTTTTTAAAATCTATTTCGATTATGGTAACTGCGGTAGGTATAATAATTAAAATAAAATTACATTTACTTTGCTGTGCCTCTGGTCGCGTAACAGTTCAAGGCGTGCTTCTTGAATGGCCTCCCAGAGTTTAGCTTCGGACAGTATTTGTCTGCTTAGTTCTTCAACAGCTGGTTCCGAACGGAGTTCGACTAGCGTGGCCATTGATTCGTCCGACCTTTTACGGCCGCATCCTTCATGATAAAAATTAAATTAAAAAATAACATGGTCATACGTTTAAAAAAAAAAAAATTGTTTATAATGAGTCCTAAATTGTATATTTAGGACTCATAAGTTCCCGTTATATTAATTAACCCATTTCGCCCCCCAACCCACTACAAAAGCCAAGGAGTAATAATTTTAAAACTGCGGTCCAGTTTTAAAATTATCACTCCTTGGCTTTTGTAACAACGACCAACAACAAATAAGACAATAATATAGTTATTGTAAAAATTTAATTGGTATAAACCAAAGCTAGGGTAGTCCGTAGTAGAATATCATCGATATAAAATGAAATATATAACAACTTAGGATAAAACTTTTATAACGTACCTAATGTTACCTTCAAATTCTGATCTATAATTGATGAATGTTTTTTCAATAATTCATCAATTATTAATTATAAATATATTGTAACGTGTCTGTTACAATGATATGATATATATATATATATATATATATATATATATACCATTACACAACTATTAACTAACTATAAGTGTAATGTCAGTAAGTAAAAATGATTACTAATATGGCATGGAAGTATTTATAACGTTAGGAAAATTAATCACGACAGTAAGTATTATTGATTGTTCTTTTATTATTAGAAGAATAGTAAATACATATAGAAACATTTGTGTATGAAGATAAATTCAGATTTTTGCTTTAGGAAAAAATTGTTTAAGCAAATTTAAACGTCACTTATAATTTAGATAATATTTGCTTAAGGGGATTGTATGCAGTCATTTTTAAGGAGTTTTGTAAAGGCAATATTTAAAAAAAAAGTGGTTTTAATAAATTTCGACTATGTCAATTAATTTACCGGTTAATTTGTATAAGCTTCAAGGTATTATTTTTAATTTAAATAATTTTTTCTATGAGTAACAGCCATTTTAGTTTATTTAAAACCAACAATTAGCTAGACAAAATTTCGCCAAAAGGTTTTAGAAAAGTATAGATGCTGATTGACAGTATCCAAAAAAATGTACTTAAAACAACAACGATTGACTTGGATTATTCTTACTAAATTAATTTCTAAATGGACAAAATTATTAGCTATAACTATGTTTCCTGTAATACTACATTTAGTGTTGACAAAAAAAAAGATCTTTGGTAATCATCCAAAATGTGGTCTATTGGAAATCATTAATTTTCGATTAGGTTTGCAATAATATAGTACAAAAAATATGTTACCTACCTACTGCAAAAATTGACTATGTTATAGAAAGTGGTTAATTTTTGTTTGGTTTTTGTGTGCAAAAGTTAAGTGTACTGATAATATTCAATGAAAGTTCTCATTTCAATATTAGGACCGAACCAAATGGCGCGTAAACATTAAAAGAACACTTTTTGTTTTTAAACTGCTCTTCGTTCAATAAAAACGGCTTACCATACAATTCAGATAGAACCGTTAATCAGCTTTCCAAAAAAAATTTCATTTTCGACTTGGTCTAATATAGAGATTTTTTAAAAATAATTTAAACGTTAAATACAACATTTATGATTTATACTTGAAAATTGGTTTTATAAATGCTAACGAAAAACATTTTTTTTTTCCGGTTAGGTTAGATCCGAAGCATAGTAGAAGTTATGATCTTTCTATCATTATCAAATTCATGTTTACATAATAAATATGTAGAAAGCTATGCACTTAATAGTGTTATACCTCGTTTATATGGTAGAAAAACACGTGTTCTTTTATTTTTTTTAATTGTATCATATTTTTTTTTTTTAAATAACTTTATGAAAAATTAATTGTTCTACTATGAGCCGTGGATACGACAAGACTAAACAGAAATGTGTACAACATGTGTAAACAGATTTTAAGTTTAGACAAATTAAAAAAGAAAACAAGTTAGGTACCTGTAAATGCGTTACAAAAAGGTTTTTTTCTCCTGATCGGTTCAGCTTCCACAGTGTCGTCATCATAATACTGTTCAAACAAAAAAATTATAAAAAAAAATCTAAAATTATGTTATTATACTGCTGTTTTTTCAAAAATTCATTTATAAATAGGTTGTTAGTAACATACTCGTCTATAAAAAGAAAAGTGCCACAATTTCTTAAAATTCCATTTTTATAATCCACTCATTTTACAAATAAACGATTTTGTAAATGTTGGCGAATGAGCATTAAAGTTATTATTTTCAAAAAGATCAAATGGGTTTATTACACTATTTTTACTATTATAGACTTAAAAGTAATAAAATCAGAGGTTTTCATGACAAATAAAACAATGATAGCCTAATCTTTTTGGTCGAAAATTGAGATATGTTTATTTTTTAATTGTTCAGGTTATGTTATTTTTAATACGAGTATGCTACAATACTACTATATTACTTCTAACTTGTATATTTTTCTATTAAAAAATCTTTGTGGTCACAACTGGATGACAAGAACTCCAAAATTGGATGTTTTTCATTACAAGTTCAAAATGTTTGATTTGTATACAACGTCATTTATGACGAAAATGATGTACCTAATTCAATGGAGTTATTATTAAATGATATTTGTACTCCGTGAGATGTGGCCACAGATAAGTAATCGAATAATGTATACTCTTTACCCTTTTCTGCATAATGACATCATCAGCAAACACTGTTTGAGCTAATGACACTAGAGCTGTTATCCAGACGAGGGTCAGCATTGAGGATTTCATGACTGTTTGATGAACGTCCTTTTTATAAAAACAAATTATATTTTGAAACACAAATATTCAAACATTGCAGGTACAAAAAGTATATTTGTGTTATATTATTGTAGTGCACACGAGACGAAGTCAATACTAAAGTAAAATTTGAGTGAAAAACTGACATTACTCCTAAATTAAATGTTTAGTCATGTGTTTAAAAACAAAAAATATATACTATTATAATAATTTATAACACCAAGTCTTATAATTTAGCAATACCGTAACGAAATGTATTTTGTTGTAACAAAATTGTAAAAAACTGTGAAACTGAATTAAAATTGAATTTTTATATTATCAAGCCGAAAAAGGTTTGCAATCAAAAGTAATTAGGCGCCTAGCTAGGTAAGTATTTTGTTTATCCTGTTAATTGGATGAATAATAAATGTACTTGTGGATCCTGATTTTGACCATAGTCATTACCACGTATATTTGAAAAAAAAACACATATAGAAAAAATTATTTAATTTTACTATATTAATTATATATTTATAGTGTTTTACAAAGCATTACGTTTGTCGTTTATATTATTACATGTTTATCGAATACATTTAATACTCGACAACGCTATATATCTCCAAGTAAAAAAACATAAGCACCTAATTCCGATTTAATGGGTTTCTTAAAGAGATATTATGCAATAAGCATCTTTGCGAACATGTTAATAACAACAAATATGTGTACACAATGTAGTGTCGTTCGTTTATTTGATTATTTTGCTAACAGGATATATTTTTAAAAAGAAAACTCTTACTCCATGGAATAATATATAATAATGCGAAAGCTCAAATAATTGTTTTATTAATTTGTATAAATATTAAAACTGATCAGTTATGTAAAATATATTTATATCGATTTATTCTCAGAGAAAATTTGGTTTAATAAAAAAAATTCAAGTTGTTCTTATCGATTGTGAGGCAAAATAATAAAAATAAATAAAACAAACACATAAGTGATAGTTTACAATAGTTACCATATAAAGTCTTAACTATTTTAATACTATTAACTAGTACACTAATACCCAGACAAAATACTGCAAGTCAAGTGTAAACTACAAGTTGAATTTTTTATCCTTAAATATTCGACAGTTTAACAATAGTTTTTTTACAGCAATTTCTTTAGGTCAGAATTAAGTACTATGTATTTTTCTTGTGTAAGAATCGCTAGTCAATAACATTTTTAATGAATATATGAGTAAGTATACAATACTCGGGCAAAAGTATTTTAATCTAAAATAAATTCAATCACACTAAAATGTGAATATTTCAGTATACAAATGTTTAGATACTTTCAGCTTGATTAAATGTGTATACTACATGAATAATAAATATGATATTCCTAAATAGCAGTTGAACCAGCAACGATTTGATAAATTCGTTTTTTTCGATGAGAAAGATCTCTCTCATTTCATATTTAATTTATATGTGCTGTAATTAGAGTTTAAATTTTATCTTAAATTTAGTTGTTTGCCCTGTTGTAGTGCGATGGAATAAATAATAGCACTCACAAAATACATTTTATTTTTCCGCATATTGCCTATGTTTAAACGTTTAGTTAAAGAAAAAATTGTAATTACTCAATAGTTTATCGGTTATATTTATTGTTAATAATTTTAAAACAAATTTGCGTACTGGACAACAAGACTGAAGAAAATATCATTGTTATTAAAATAAAGAATGCCACATAATGTTTTATACTACCTAAAAGTCATGTTTTTAGACTTCTTACCTGTGGTCTAGAATCCACTGCACCTTGATCAGTAACACAGAAGTCAAAAACAATCACTGCGGGCTTGTGTGCGTTTCGGTTTTTATAGGTAAGCTTTTAGGGACGTCCGCGCCGAGCGCTTTTCTACAGTAAACGCTTCTAGCAACGCGTTGAACTGTTGAAGGAACAACACACACACACACACACACACTTAACCCATAAAACTTGCTCCATAACCGCCCATTGAAATAGCAAGGATTTGCAGAGCGAAATCGTTCAGTGTCTTCTGTGAAAGATAAGTATCGTACAGTACAAAAAAATACTCATAAACACACAATATTGGTTCTTCATTAATTCACCCGTCTTAGTAGTAAAATATTTTAAGTAGCAAAACTACGAAAAAGGCAAGTTTGTATTTGATATATATTTTTTTTTGAAAATTTGAAATAGTTATTTTTTGACTTGCGGATCAAAACCGAAACATACTTGGCCCGTTTATCACGAGTGTAACAACTTTTTTAACTATTCGGTTTTTAGTGAACGTTATAGGTTTACAGATGCGTGTCCCCGGATCCCGGAAGTGCTTACACACCTGTCGGAATTTTATGATTTTTTGTCGTCTGTCGGTCGCCGAAAAAATTGTTTTTACATTTCATAAATATTAGGCAGTCGAAAGTTGTGTTTTTTGTACACCTATCATTTTTTTTTTTTTTTTTTTAATTATTTATTGCTAATATTTATGTTGTATTAATTCAATTTCTCTTGTATTGTGTAAAATCTTCGACGAGGAACTAAAATAATATGTTTTGATTTTGTCTGGACCTATGCTAACCTTTTGACCGCTTGCCCGATATTTTCCTAATTACTGCTATGTATTTTGTAGAAATTATAATGGGAGTGAAAAAAACATATACCTACACGAGTAACGGTCTACTATGTGATTTTTAACTTTATCGTAAAGTGCAATCAAGTAAATACTGCAGATGACATTTATAAATAACACCAAAGTTTATTTAACATCCCAAATTAGTTTCCTATTCAGAAGCCAATCCATATCTAAATACGACCATGAAAAGAAATAAATGTTAGTTATAATACAATTTTTTTTATTACGAAACCTGCGAATATCTAAACGCTTTGTTATAAATTATAATAAAAAAAATATCAAATAGAGTCATGATAAATACACTCCACTTCGATTTGTTTTAATAGAAATAATTTTCTATTTTGGCTTTTAAGAGAAAAACTCAAAATATTCTGATTTGTTTGTTTCGATTATTGAATCTAAAGCTGGTTTAAAATAATTTAAATTTCAATAATTTAAAAATTGATGTTATGATATTTTTTAATCGAAACCTCTACGTATTTATGTCGCCGTGCTTAACTGTTCAGAGAGTTCAATCGATAACAATGCAGTTTGCACTTTGTTATAAAACACACAGAAATGACCATGTATATTAAATAATAATAACATAAATAAAAAATAATCCCTACTAAGTAACACATGAATCTACACACATGTATACTAAAATAAAAACACACAATTTCCATTTTCCATAAACTTTAAACTCTTAATCTTGTTAGTGAAAAAAAATGGTTCATATCATGATCCCATATAATGTTTTCGTAAGACTTATACCCCGTGTACGATAATTCGTAGAAAAATAAATGTCAATAACAAAACTGACTGTAAAAAAATCGTATAAAAAATGTATTTATGCATTCAACTCAACAATTCGCCGAACAGCCTAGTGTGGCGTTACTGCAAACTCGCAAAAACGGTTAAATGCATAGAAAATAAAATAAAATAGAATGAATAGAGGTTGCATTCGTCAATTTTCTGTTGTTGAACCTAAATGAGTACCTTCTCAAAACATTGTGTTTTATTATCATTAGATTTCATTACTAGTTACCGTCCGATTACCTTTGTTGTTTTTTAATTGTTTTTTTTTCTCTAATCAAAGACTTATAATTGTTAGCTACATGAGCCATGCCGGATTAAGAAAAGTCTCGAGGGTCCAAACTCGAAAGAGGGTAATCCTTGCGGTCAGTATTATTTACATATATTTACACACAAGAAAAAGGTTCTGGGAGTTACAAAGACCTTTTGGCCCTGGAGACACGCCCTTTGCCTCTAGTTGGTTTACCGCGTAAGTGCGTTAGCATTACATGTAAAATCCAAACGATACCTTGAATTCTATTTTCTAGCGTGGAGTTGTTTCACGAGTACCTGTTAAAAAATCTGCGATTCAAATAACCATTGCTTTATAAAAAAAAAAGTCACGAGGAAAATTATAGATTAACCGAAAGGGTTCTACTGTTCAATGAGTGCGTCGAGGCGGACAAACGATGACAAACGATCAAATCAGCAACTGGTACGGCAAAAATCACGAACAACGAACATACAAATAAAATATATTTTAAAATGTAAGTCGAAAGTCGATTAGAATTATTGGCCATTGGTGGTTGTATAAATTGGCTGTACCTACTGTAAAAACAGACAAATAATTTTCGATTAAACTATCGCCAATGAACCGTTTAACATAGTCTGTGCATTTTCGACAATCGCGTTCATGTAATTTTAGTAGGTATACACGCAATGCATTCGTAATTAAAAAGCCAGCTATAGGCCAAACGACGCATTGAATTCTAAACAAGATCCAAAACAAACGTGACGGTGTGTAAATGCCAATACAAATAAAGAAAACGAACATTTTCGGTCGCAATAATGTGTTCGGTTTGTATTTGTTTTTTTACAAGTAATTTTTTATCTCGATGAAATCAACTAATTAAAAAAACTGTCTTAATCTTTCTATCTGTCTATCTCTCCCACTTATTCGGATTCTACTCAGTCCGATCCGTATTTTAAGTCATTCTGTTTTGAATAATCAATGATTACTGAACTTTTTTACTATAATAATTTGTATAAACACAGGCCGGAGAAGCACATAACTCGGCACACTCGGCTGCCGTAGCTTTCTTGTGATGTACTTACGAATTGGCTTCATAAAATATTAAAGAAGATTAAAAAAAAATGTTGCATGTAAAATCAAGTGAAACTGAACGCGGTGGAAAGGGACAACATATATCGATTCGGTACACACGATTAGCTGTGTAAAATTGATGGTTTCCTGTGTTTTAAAAATATGATTCATTAAAAACAAAGTGTAATGTTTGAAAATCACGGCCGGAAGTACTACGCACACATAATACATAAAATGTATATGGTTTACAGTTTCAGCCGCCAAGGTGTTTTGATATATGCACGACTTGGAAAAATACAAATATTTACACTCATCGAATTTAATTAAGTTTACTGATCGATGTGTTCTACGTATATAGCATAGTTCTGGCCGAATACTCTAGATCCCATTGAAACATGATTAAAGTTTTCTACCGCATGTACCAATTAATATACCGGCACTCCAATATGTGTATAGTGATATTATTATTCTAAACGTGTAATCTCACTCGCAGTTTCTTTATTATGCAAATGCACGAGTATGAACGCTCTTTATGCACATATAGGTCCCGTACCCATACCGTTGATTTTGCGGTATAATATCTATTATCATGGCTTTATAGCATCAATAAATGAAAAAAAAAACATACAAATAAGTCTCTCTCTATAGTAGCAATTATAAATATTATACACATTCGAAATTCGTTGAAACATAATCGATGCACTATGAATGAATTCTACTTTATAAACATTCAAATCGTAACTTTGTAAGTTATTTTTCTTGTCATTTTATACGTATAACGTACAACTTATAAGTAATCGACACTATAATATTAGTAATTACTAAATATAACATAATTAATACCATCACTTCATCAACTCACACGTTATGTTTTAATTTAAGTACATATTATTATTGTTACATATTATATACTTGGATTTTACCTGGCCGATCCCATGTGGTTGGGAGCGTAAGGCGAAGATAAAGAAGAAAAAGACATATTATATACTTGGATTTCAATTACAATCGACCGTCGGGATATTGTTATTTTCCATTCAAACCAAACTGAAATTTAATTATTCAAGTTTGGGTCATTAGGAACCTATTCAAATTTTAGACACAAAAAACGCTTAAGTATATTCCAGAAATTGTACGTCGATTATTGGGTATTAGTTCATTCAGAATTCTTGGTAAAAGTACAGGCTACTCATAGAATTCTATTGGGGTTTTATTACATTGTCAATAAATATTTTATAAAAACAGCTTGTACAAAAATCAAGAAACCAATAAAACGCGAATGTTAAAAAGCTATAACAAGAGCTCGTTAAAAAAGTGCATGTGGTAAATGTTAGGTATATATTATTATTATTTACCCAAATTAAATATTAAATAAACATTCTTGTTATCAGCATTTACAGAGTTACAATGGTCAATTTTTCTCTAGAATATAACTTAACGAATACATAAAATACTAAAAGTAATAAAACAATCCCTAAGTCTCGCCGAACAGCCTACTACATACCCACGCTTGTTTGTCGGCTCTGCGATGGTGGCTGACTCGTATTTTTTAAGTGTAGAAAAGTAATATTTTTATCCAATTTACAAACATCTTCAAGGCAACTTTTATTTTTATTCCATAATTTTATACTAGTTTAGAGAAAAATTCCCGGTAACTTTGACTAATGCAAAGGTTCTTTTTGAAATCCTTTATACAAATGTATCAAGAAACGTATACACACAAAATATGTTTACAGTTTAATTAATATTTTTTTAATGAAAAAAATAGCCCCATTTAACTAAAAGATGGTAAAATATTTTATAACTTAAAAACAAAACAAAAAATACTGCTGTAATGTTACTATTTGTAAAAAAAAAAACAGGTGAAATGCAGCTTTATGCGTAAAACGGTCAAATCTAACCTCAGAATATAATACAGAAAAATAACTTTCTACATACATCATTATAATACATTTTGTCGTCTGTGTCTATATAATGATAATATGTTTATAGCTTTGTTTTTTTTATCCCAATTGTATCTTATCGATGATCGTTTGATTTGCATGAAGATAAGAAAAATCTACAACAATAAATTCTTGTCCGAAAAAACGGTAATATATTTAGGGATCAGTATCAGTGCTTGACAAGTTGAGACACAGAAAAC